AAATGTATAACTACACTGTAACAAGGACACCTTAAAATAAAGTGTAACCATGCCATCTATTATATTTATATTTTATCTTTTAATACTTTTAATCTTTTTAAAAATAGTATTATAGTACTATTACTAATCTATTACTATTGTACTAGTATACTACTATTAGTATTGTACTAGTAAAATAACACTATTATTTTAAGATTTATTAACTACCAATAAGAAGTGAAATGTCCAGATTAATAGATAAGTGTTATTTTTATTCTTATGCTTTTATTAAGTAATTTATTATTTTCAATTTGCATGTATCAAGAAATTAGGCAGGGCTCAGGGTAAAAATGCCACTAAAAGTAACATAGTAACATGTTTAAAAAAAAATAAATTACAGTTTGCCAAACTTTCATTCCACATTAATCTGGTGACAATGCATTAAAAATAGGAGATGAACAATTAGCACCAAAAGTGTAAATAAGTCTAGGAACAATCACAGTGTTTGTTAGTACATCTTTGTGTGTGTCTTCTGAAATGTGCCGCTGTAATTATGCCTCGTTTATTCTGTATGCCAAACAGCAGTAAAATGTATAAAAATTTGGGACCAAAATTTATTTGGACACTTTCACCTGACCATGTTTTGCTTAAATGTTTTTTCTTTAATTGCTAATGTGACCTTTTTACACCACAGACTGAACTAAATCAAGCATTGCTTGGTAGTTGGTTGACCTAAATTGGTATTATCTAATTGTGTACTTAAAGGGTTACTCCACCCCAAAATGAAAATTCTGTCATCAATTACTCACCCTCATGTCGTTCTAAACCTCCACGACCATCTAATTTATTGAGATGCACCTGTATGTATTTATTTATTTATTTATTTATTTACAAGGGGCAAGTCGTGGCCTAATGGTTAGAGAGTCGGACTCGTAACTCAAAGGTTGCGGGTTCGAGTCTCGTACCGGCAGGGATTGTAGGTGGGGGGAGTGAATGTACAGCGCTCTCTTCCTCCACAGCGCTGTAACAGACTCATTGCAAGTTATCGTAAACGCTTGATTGCAGTTGTTGCTGCTAAGGGTGGCCCAACCAGTTATTAGGTTTAGGGGGCAAACACTTTTTCACACAGGGCCATGTAGTTTTGGATTTTGTTTTCCCTTAATAATAAAAACCTTCATTTAAAAACTGCATGTTGTGTTCACTTGTGTTCCAGAATTCACACCACTGTATATATACAAACACACACTGCAAGTGCTGTTTGCATGCATGTCCTCTTTAAGCTAGACTCTTTGATGTACCGAGTCAGGTCTGTAGCATAAATGGCGAGTTATATACCCAAGTTTTATTCGTTTAAAGGGGTTTGGATTTGTTCAAATCACTAACCCTCAGTATGATCGATCGTAACAGCAAGGCCCTCCCATCATCTATATATTACATGCAGTTTCCATCCCATTTCAAAGTTGTTTTAGAGCTTTTTTTATTCCCGCCACACAGGCGTCACATCACAGACGCACAAAATTAACTTGCCGTGCACACTGTGCCAATGGCCTTTCAAGTCTGCCTGTGAAGCGCTAAAGAGAGAGAAAGACAGAGAGCGAGCGAGCAGTGGTTGTAATTAGCACATATCACACTAGCGTAATAGAGGGAGGTGTATAAATATCTTGCTCTAATCTCTCCAAATGCCTCTTATGATGTTTTCACATGCTGAGGCTAAAGGGTTCATACATAGCTAGCAGCTCTGATGACAGACTAGTGTTCTGGGAATACTGTCGTTTGGAGCCCAGCACAAATTTGTTGTGTTGAACTGCTTAAATTTTGGATAGGTTTCCCAAATCTGGTTGACTTGAACACAGAGAAGGATTTGGACTAGGTTATGACAAATAAACTGACAGCTGTGAAGTCCACATCTCAAAACTCACTATAGGAAAGATCCCAGGACTGTCCCACACAGCATTTTTTTATTTTTATTTTGTCATTTGCAATATGTTATTAATTTATTTATTTTGTAATTTTCTATGTTATTACACAACACAGTAAAACTGGCTGACAAGTGGTGTTTATAGTGAGTATGATGATATTTGCCAATTCTGAAAATAACCACAAACATTGTTAGCAAATATATAGATTCAAAACAATTTTGTTGCTTTAGTAAAACTTTTTTTTATTATTATTAGAATAGTACTGTATATAGGAAGATGTATTTGTTTTATTAGTTATTTCGTTTTTTTTTCTAGTTGCACATGTACAGGTTGTGACAAAACACATGCTGCTATCACAACAATATGCACATAATGGAAAAAACAAAATATTGCAGAAAATTCCCCAGAATTGTTCAACTCTCAGAAGGTGAAAAAAATCCAACACATTCTTTATTAAATGAAAAAAAGTGGAAAGACATACCGTACTTGCTTCTTGTGAAGCAAGATGCAGTTACAGATACTGTATGCTAAATATATTGCAACATCGAAATGCAATTACAGGTTTTAAATAAATCGCAATAAAAATAACCAGCAACAAAATATAGTTTTAATATTGAATCCCCTAGTGAATAATGCACAAATAAATCATTCAATTGTTTTGAACTATTTATATATGTAAATTAAAAATGTTTTCCATTTCTGTACATATCAAATTGTATAATTGTAAATTATCAACCACTGAAAATGTCCTAATTTTAGGCACTGAGCATCATGTAGATAGAGAACATTATTATATTCTATTTCTGATATCTGCAACTTATGATCAGAGAGGGCAGCTGTTTTTAGCAAACTCACATTTTCCATGTCCGTAATGAATACGGTAAAGGTTTCCATTATCCAAATTTAATTGAAATGACTTAGCTGACCCTGTTGAAATAAGACTAAGAATTAAATGGAATTTAAAATATGAGATATTACCATGAAAAATATAAAATGACAAAGCATCATGTAGATAGAGAACACTATTGTATTCTATTTCTCATGACTAAAAATATGAGGGGGCAGCTGTTTTTAGCAAACTCACAATTTCCATGTCCATAATTAATATGGTAAAGGTTTCCATTATCCAAAATAAGAATGAAATGGAGTCATATTTGAACATGAATAAAAAAAATAGATTTTACCATAACAAATATAAAATTACAATAAATAAATAAGGGCAAACTCATCCTTCTTATCTTTGCACCAATTCATTCTCGTTCTCAATTCACTGCACCACAGATGAACACAAGCTGTTTTATCAGAGCAATTTACCAATACACACTAATGATGATCATTTTCTAATCCACTGAGATGCGAATAAACACATTTGGGTTGTGTGATTACTAAAGAATCGGTTGGACTATAGAAAATAATTTAATTACTCGTAGCTGCTGAACCAAATACATAAGACATAATGATGTGTGAAAATGCTGCCAGTTTCCATCGCATGATACCATTTGTGTTTTATTTAACTGCAGCTGCATTTTAACCTTAGTCAAGATCAAGCAGGTCTGGGGAAAGTTCAAGATAGAGCTCAAGAAGACTATATAATGCGAGTCATCCAGTAAATCAAATGTTATTCAGTCACACTGAGTGAATGGATTGTGGTAATCGCCCCGGTACAGCGCGAACACAGGCTTCTCAGGGAGCTTGAGTGGGCTGTTGACACCGTCAGACGTTTGCCGTCCAATAAGGGCCACTTTGCTTTGATTTGTGTCCACTGAGCAAATATAGCCGGGGAAATGACAGTGAGTGTGCACTCAGTGCTATCTTAATGAGGGTCATTAGGATGTAAAAATAAATAATGTTTTTGACGGTAAAGGACCAAACAGACATTTGGATGACTTGTGTGGAGGATGTGCTTTCACAATAAATGCGTGCTCAAGCAAGCTCAGATTTAAAAAAAATAAAAAAATAATGAAGTTAGTTGGGTTTAAATAGTCGGTTTCAGGGGTCTTTTCTGTGAATGAATGTTTACAGAGCACATTCCTAAAGCTGCTGCACCGACCATAAATCACAGAGGGGAAACAGGCTCCACACAGTGCAGATATGTAGTGTTCGGCTGCATCTAAAAAGCTGTGGACTGTGTTTTTGGACATCATGGACATCTTCAAAGTATATATTTATATATATATATATATATATTGCTACACACCATAAAGCAACTCGGACTTGTTAAAGAACCCAAACTTGGAGAAAGTGAGAAGCTTTATGACATTTGTTGAATTTAATATCATTCTGCTATAAATAATACCTAATATTTAATTCTTCATTAGCCCTATACTGATCAGACATGAACTAATCACTAAAGTGTTTGGTAACACTTCACTAAACAGCGTCCATGCTAAAAACTGTATGGTAACTCCCTTTTTTAAGGTGTCCTTGTTACACATGTTACGTGTACTTACTATTATAGTAACAATAAATTATGCATAACTACATGCAAGTAACCCTAATCCTAACCCTAACCATATAGTAAGTACATGTAGTTAATTAATATTACTCAGTACTTAAATGCATAATTACACTGTAACAAGGACACCTTAAAATAAAGTGTAGCCGTAATTACTATAGTAAAAACAATAACATGTAATTACAAGCAGTTACAACTCCACCTACAGTAATGTAAAGGATGACCTCAAAAAGTACTGTAGCAGTGTAATTGTATAACTGAAACATAATTTCTCAGGTGTGTGTTTGTGTATAGCAAACCCTGAGAAGAAGTATTACCATGGTATATTGATGGCAATATCATGGTAGATACTGATACTGTATTTACTGAATGATTAGCCTTCCATACTTTAAAGAATTCCATATGACATGTCCAAAACATAGTACTACTATGGTACAGTGACTGTATCAGATACCATGGTACTCTAGCATGATACCATTGAACTACACTGGTACACAAGATTACCATGGCACTTTTTGGAACTGTAATTTAATATGAATCCTTCATTAAAATGAATAATTGCAAATGGGAAATAAAGGCTGATTTATCATGAATGAAGCGTTATGCCCATGCGTCACTGTAATAAGGGAATAAAAGTATAGACCTACAGTGTTTGGTGCGTCGGTGTTGCCAGCTGAAGCACGCTTTGAGCGCTTTCTCCTGTAACATACACGACGAGGAACTGGACGAGTAAAACTCCAGCATGTGTCCCGATAACACATCCATACAGTCAAACATCATGCACTTTATTTCACTGAAGAATAAAATAATAAAATATCAGTCGGGTGTCCTTCATTTGTTCACAGAAACTCCATCAACTCTTGGCAGGCGCAGATCTCTCTCCGTTTCCACACAGTCTCCAGACATCATGCGATCCATCCCGATCCTCACTGGCGATTTTCAGAGTAAAAACGATCGCTAAACAGATATAAATACGGTTCCGCTCGGTCTTGTGTCCTGTTCCGGTTAGCGACAGCGCTTCTCTATAATGAGGGATGATTTTGTAAATATATCGCGTTTAAACGCGCAATGACGGATTTCGTCTCCTGTCTGCGTGCAGCTCATTTCCTACTAGTTCATTCCTACACAATGAAAGATTGAGTTGCCTAATATATGCGAGTGAACTTTCTGTGAACCCTTCCAAGGCTGCTAACCTTCAAATGACCCACACCAGTGTGACATCACCAGCATTCACACGCGCGCGCAGACACACAACACGCAGGAGAGGCTGAGAGCAGAAACACAGCTCAACACAGCTTTTCCTTCGAAAGAATATTCCCTACATATTAATATTTTCCTGAGTTACAACTTCCCTGCAGTTGGGCTAAGAGAGCAGTACATAAAATGGGTTAAAAAAAGTAGTAACTTACACTTTAGCTTTCATTAATTAATTAATTAATTAAAGCCTACTTATTATGGAAATACAGTATTAGCCTGAATGTAATGCATCCTGACATTTGATTGCATGTTAATTACAATTACGTGAAATTGTATTATAGTTTAAATGTATATTTTTATTTAATATAAATGTGCAATAACCTTATATTTATTTGTTACCACCCTACAGCTTAGTTCATCCCTACATCTTATTCTGTTCAATTCCTATTATATTCTATCTATAGCAAGCATGTACATACAAATTATTTTATTTTTCAATTTGTCTGTTTTTTTTTTTATGTATACATGTGTATTTTATTCTCATCTTATTTTTTATTATCTGTGTGTTGTTGTCTCTGTGTACTGGAAGATTGTGACACAAATTCCTTATGTGCAAACATACTTGGCAATAAAGCTCTTTCTGACTTCTGAAATATTATTTATATATTAATATTAATATTGCATTTTGACTCGCTTTTTAGGACCTGAATCCATCTTTATACGTAACTTCATAAGTACTGCTATTGTCTTTGAAATACAGTATATAGTGTAATGTCAAATGCACTGATAGATATTTATAGTAAACTAAAATATGTTAATGTAATTTTTTGAGAGTACACTTAAGTGGCCTTAAGAGAACACTTAAGAGAACAGACCAATAGAAAGAGAAAGGTGAAAGAGCAAAGAAAAGAAAATGAGTAAATTAAAATGAAGAGCAGAGTAAAGTAAAGAAGAGTACAATGGAACAAAAATCAGTCAGGTATACAGTAGAGTAAAACAGAGAAAGATAAGATATTAAAGAAGAGTAGAACAGATGTAAAGAAAGAAAGAAAAAAGTACACTAGCCAACAAAGGCGAAATGCAGTAAACAGTTTGTCAACATTTTTTATACATCAACATTTCATTGATTTGATATTTGTTTTGACAAGGCATTTTCTTGGACTCTAGGCATAGTTGAGCTGAACTTTTGTCACAGGACAGATCAATCTAAAGAAATCCTGATTATGGTCACTCAATGTAAAAATGAGCCTTGCATTCGCTTGATGAAAAAAAAATTGTAAGGAGCACACAAATTGTTTATTATTATTATTATTATTATTATTATTTGGCACTAGTTTTTAACTATAAGATATAATAAAAATTGACATAAAATCATCTGTATAGTCACTTTTAGCTTGCTCACTGAGGTTAGTAAGGCTCTGTTCTCTGTACAGCTGCTTTTATATATTATGAATACAATTAGAGTAAGTTGCATGGCAATTGCTGCACATTTCTGCAAAATGATATTATGCTGCTTCTTGCACTTTCGGGATACTTTTTTTCGGGAAGTGAATTGTCCAGTGAGTCGCACTAAAAACGCATTCAGTTTTATCCAAAACAGATAAATGTGATTCTAGCAAAGATTTATTAAGCTGCTTTGCATAATGCGCAGCATAATGCTTGTGAGTGGTGCTTTCCCTACACAATCCCTATCAAATCTAAAACCTTATCCTTTTAGAGCGACATTAAGCTGTGAAGCCAAGTAGACTGAAAAGTAAAATTGTGCTGTTGTTACCTTAACAGTTTCTGCCAGTTCTGACATTTAAAAATGACTTGTGTTGGTGCAGACATAATGGGCCTCATTTATCAATCTAACGTAGAAACGAGCACATATCCGTGCGCACAAATCAGCTTACGACAGAGTTCACGTGTGATTCATGAAACATTCATATGCCACCTAGGGGTGTAAATCGGATGGTTCGTCACGATACGATATGATATCGATTCTCATACCCAGCGATACAACATGTGCCGATACTTCAAAAAATTCTACGATACGATTTCAATACGATTCGATACAGGAGAATATTGATTGATATATCGATACTATTATATTATATGCTTATTTTAAACAACCATCTACATTTTTATTAACTCACAAATGCAACCAAAACATATAACATGAACATTTATCTTAAATTTTCACATCCTGTTCCTCAATTGGGACATTCACAACAAAAAAATAAGCCTACATTTTTTTTAAATAAAGAAAAATATATAATTGAAAAAAAGACAGATCAGTGATCTTAAGATATGACAAGTCAAGACAGTCTTTAAGGCTTCTGTGCTAAAATATGCAATGTGTAAAATAATGTAAATCCTCATTAGGAAACAACACAAACGAGAAACGAGGTACTCCAGTTGTAGGAAAAAATACATTAATGTAGAAAAATTAATTAAAAAAATACAAAAATAAACTTTATTTGAGACTTTTTTTGGATGCTACTATGGGCTCAGAGCTAAAAACCTTTTCTACAGATAACCAAATTACAAGAAATAGCAGAAAATAAATACAATATAACAAATACACAAATTAAATAAACAGTGCTTTTCAGGTTTTTCAGGTAGATCTAAAATAAATTTTCAGGTACAGAAATGTAATAATCAAATGTAAAATAACACTGCATAGTCTTCACTGTATAGATTAAATATAGATGAATCCTTATTAAAGTTGTTCAGTCAAAATCAGATTTTTTTCTGACAGAATTTTTCTGTTAATCTGCTTTCACTTTAAGAAAAGCATGGATCCAATATACTGATACACAGGCGTATTCTTTCTCAACTGTTTAAAGGGGTCATATGATGCGATTTCAATTTTTCCTTTCTCTTTGAAGTGTTACAAGCTCTTGGTGCATAAAGAAGATCTGTAAAGTTGCAAAGACTAAAGTCTCAAATCCAAAGAGATATTCTTTATAAAAGTTAAGAGTCAACCACGCCTACCTAAAATGGCTCATCTAACGCCCCCACATGTCTACGTCACGATGTGGGAAGATTTGCATAATCAAATCCCAAATGTTCACGCAAAGAAAGAAGGCGTAACTTTTATTCTCGCTGTAGTATTGTTGTCGCTGCCGCCATGTTGTGACGGCACTGTGTGATTCGTTGTGAAAGCGAAACGTCTCCAGGTTACGAATGTAACCATGGTTCCCCGAGGGAACGAGACGCTGCATCGGAAAACGCTTTGGGAACGCCCCCAGCATGACCATGCTCTGAATCACATATGAAATCAGTCCAATAGATGGGTGGGTGACGTTGCGACCAGGAAGCTATAAAAGCACGTGCGGTGGAACCGGCGTCAGCTTCTAGGAATGAAGCAAGCACTCACAGGGATGCCGGAAGTATGGCACAGAGACGCAGCGTCCCGTTCCCTCCCAAGCTGCGTTGGAAACGCTTTGGGAACGAGTATGCCCACGCGGCCAGACTTACCAATCCCTGCCTAGTGTGGAAGAGCACAGCTAAGGCGAGAGAAAGGAGCCAGGAGTGGCGCAGAAC